CAAGTGAATGATGCCGAAATTCTGTAAAGCGTGGAAACTGGATTTATAGAACCACCCCCACCCCCCAACACGTACATAAAATACGTTAAATATATTTTACCATCCCTATACGTAGTCCTTAATATTTTCGTTTTCCAGGCTTTTAACGATTTTGAAAGTCTGGAAAACGTGAAATTTCGGATCACTCCATATGGTGTCTTCTACGAGACTATACTGAATTGTCCGGAGTTAGGTACACTGTATTGTTAAGCTCCTCTGACAGAGAATTCCAAGCACGGGGTCAACGGCTGTCTGTCTGTCTGTAAATATTTCATTTGTAAATGAAGGATATGGAGATAACAAACATGCAGTACCCAATGTCAAAGTCCATGAAACAATACAAAATAGGAGCAGAGCAAACACGGACCTCCGAAACATTAGAGGTGGGATCAAGTCCCATGGAGGAGTGAGCATCCCCTGCTGACCGATCACACCCGCCGTGTTATCCTTGTCATGATCGGGAAACAACGGAAAAATCCGCCGTCAATTCAGTGCACAAACAATGGACTAATAATTTGTATGAATAACGTCAGTCAGCATTTGACTCAATGATTAATTGTATTTGCTGACAAGGTCGTTGTATCGACCATAGAACTTACGAAATTATGACTTTAAACGAGACAGCTGATATTCTTGTTTCATCAATTCGCTTGTCAATAATTTGCCTCGTTTTAGAAATTCTTCATACGTAGAGCATGATCTTGCGTATCGAATCAACTGAGATATATATACTCCGTATGCAGGTGATGAAGGTATATTGTTGCATGAGTAAAGGAAGTTGACGATAGAAAAGTTAGTCATCATGTTTATCATATAGCTTGCTTGTTAGATTACCATTAACGTATTTTTCAAGTAAAATATCCAAGTAGGAAACAGATGTGTCAAACTCTAGTATCTTTTATCTCAAGCTCACCAGGATATATCGTATCGACGTAGGAATGGAAATGACCATTGTTAATAGACAATACTTCGTCGATATATCTAAATGTCGAGTTGGAGACCACAGCAAGTGTTTTCTTCTTTTCACGCATAGGATTTTACACAAATTCTGCTTCATATGAATTTAAAAATTGGTCTGCTTATAATTGGTACCCATGGGAATTCCAATAGATTGTTGGAATACCTGGTCTCCAAAAACCACATAGATATTGTCAATCAGAAACTCAAACATCTCTTTGATGTCAATTTCAGAGTACTTGTATGTGCAAACAGAATATGTTTTAATGAAATAATTTTGCAAATGACCAATGACCACGTAAGTGAATTTATGAGTTCCATTTTTATTGAAAAATCAGCTGTCAATGATATCAAAAAGCCTGGACTTTAATTTATCGTGGGGAATGGTCGTGTATGAAGTTGAAAAGTCGTAAGTTTTTAAGCTGTTGATTTTGGTAAAATCTTGTGATTTCAAATTGTCCAAAAGTTTTTTGGAATTTTTGAGTCTCCACATCTGAATCACACCACTTCTTGAATATATTGTTGCAAAGTACTCTTGAAGTTTTTCCTTCACTACTGTCAATATCTTAGTGAGGAGTAACGAAAGAGACTTGGTTGAACATTTACTGAAACCCGCAATGTATCTTTGTTTGTAAGGATTTTTATGAAGTTTCGGAATCCAATATATGTATATATATAGGGTAGTTCAAATTCATTTAGGCTGTGTGGAATATTAAAAATATTCTTTCTTCTTTTAGATTTTGTCCTTTTACTTATAACTCTGAGCACAGTAAGCATTTTTTATCAAGCAAATTGTATATTTTTTTATATTAGATTTTTTTCAAGAAATCCTTTTTTCTGAATTTTAAGGATGAAAAGTATTGTCATGGTTCTTGAAAAAAGAATGCATGTATATATTTGATTTCTTTAAAACACAGTCTAGTCCGATGTATATTTTTGAAGGACTTTATCTTCAAATTCGACTTTTACTTCTTTTAAATATACCTACAGTACGCTCATTGCGTGTTCAGATTAATTTATCAGGCCTAGTTAATCTAAGTTAAAGAAATCGTGAAACTAAAGGGGATCTTTAACGATAATAATCGTGATGTTATTTGAATTACATGGTATAATTTCAAAATTATTCTCCGTAGATTTTTTATTGACATTACGAGAAGCAAACCCAGTCTTACGAGTGTGTGTAAAAATAAAACTTGTTCCAAGTATGTGTGAATTCCACATACTAGTATTCTGATTTCAGTTTATATCTGGTCTATATATTGGAAAAAATAATTAATGTTTTGCTTAATATCGAACTTTAAATTTATATGTGTATATACCCGTACATAGTTTGCAAGCGCTTGAAAAAATTACAGGTAATGTTTAAATTGAAATCTATAATTTCTTTAATTTCACTTTTTATATTTCATGTCAACTTGAGAAGATTTTCATTTAGGGAAAAAAAAATCATCTTTTAACCCTCTTGGAAATCACAGCTTTAAAAAAAGGATAAGGGTATAATTTGAAAAAAAATAGAAGGAATGGTTTCCTTGACAGGATTCTGGGTAGGATTACCATACTAGGAAGTTAGGATTAGCGGGCACCTGTTATTAAAGTTAGTCACAAATAGGAAAGGTAAAAAAAAATCTAAATTATAACAGAGAAATTCTGTCGTTATTTCCTTAACGCTCAATGCCTAATTAAACGTAAATAAAACATAAAAGAAGGGGTAGATTTAATTATATACAAACACCGAGTATTCTAATTTGTTATATGAATGTATTAAGGGAAAGGTTTAATTATATACTATAATTTGTCATACGAATGTTAGTCTCTGCTACGAGAAGAATTTTTTTTTTCTTGTAAGAATTCTGTTTTATAATTTGATACCAAGATCTTATCTCGAACTTCGAAAGTATCCCAAGCAAATTGTCACGTAATTTTTACAAAAAACTGAATAATCATAAAAAGAAAGACTATCATCTTAAGAGATAAGATTCCGTTCCTAGGTATTACAGTTTTATATAATGACCTGGATGACAAGATGATTATTAATAACAAGATAAAATAACAATAGACGAGGAACTGAAAACTGCGCATCAAATCACAGTCATTCGGAAGGTAAAATTAAACGTCTGACCCGAGTAAGACTGGCCGCGTTATGTTGAAGTGGTAAGAAGACAGCTAGCGGCAGACCCTTGAAGATTTTTCTCTATATATGGAGATACATGTATACATAGATCTACAAGCGCGGTGACTTCATTAGCATAGTCATTGTGAGTCAAAATCATAAGACAATTCGCTGTTAACCTGCTTACAACAATTGAACTTTTACCTCTTCATTCATCACTAAATTTAATTTTTAGAAACACTATATAGACTTTTTAAATACGAATCATTTCATACGATATGTCAATATGTATGTTGTTATAATTATAATACAACTTATGCTTGTATGTTGCTTTGATCTGTATGTTGTTAAATAACAACCAAAGAGATACTAATAAACTGGAAAAACTGATATGCCCATAAATCCCGACTTTCAAATAACGAAATATTTATTTTAAATGCATTATTGATATAATTCTAATGTAAGAAAATATTTCTATGGCTTTCTTCATATCTCTCAATATAAGTTTGCATTTAGCAATTAAAATTCTCTTAACTCTTAATTCAAAATAAAGTTACTCCCTCACAGAGTAAAAGTATATAATAAAAACTATTCATAATCTGACATCCATACTATGTACGAATTAATTCAGTGACCGTAAAAAGGAATTAAATGTCAAAACATCTTTAGAACTTAATTCTAACCAACAAGCTTTCATCTTGTTTTGAGATTTCTATCCTTAAACAATTTAGTGTTTTCCTGAATGCTTTAAATGAAATGGAATTTGTTGTTTTTCGATTTTTTTTTTACTTCGCCAATTTTACGTTTCTCTGACCAAAATCTAAAGAAATTGATCTGATAAACGTTTTACCACGAGGAAGGGTTATAGAAGGTGTGGTTAAATATTTACTCATAAAATTTGATAATGTGAGGAAATATATTTACAGACAATTACAGAATTATTATATTTAAAAAGCAACTACATGTATCCTTGGGATCCTAAGGAATAAAATTCTTATATTTTCATTATCTTTCCTGAAGTATTAACACATATACTTGGGATGTTCGTAAAATTTAGATTTCGAAAAAAGTTAAAAATCCTTTTCAATTTTTTTTTCTGTAGGGTTAAATATCTGATAAAATATAAGTTAAGATCTTTTATCATCAGCATCTTGTAGATTTTGATAATCGTCGGCTGAGGTGCAGAATCTGATTAGATCTTTTGGTACAAAGTTCAATTTCTCTTGGGAATATTAATTTCGTCAATCAGCTGGTTGAGGTTTCCTTTGATTTTTCCATCCTTTAAATTCGCGTACCCTTTATGACTCTGATTCAAGAGGTCGATATCTTCGGTACATTTCCGGACGGCAGTGCACACTTTGAAAATAAACAACAAACTTATTTTTGGGGGAGCAGCCCCTCACCAATAGGGAAAAGTTACGTCATGATTAACTCGTTAATAGCTGACCCGTGTCTGACACGTAGTGCCATAGAAAACAAAAATGGTAGACACTTTACTAATTGAACTTCGAGTCTAAGACTAGAATTAGTACCACTGTCTATACCTGCTTAATTTCTTAAGAATTTTTAAAGGAATTCAAGAATTAGCTCTTGCATACCTATGTATAAATAAGAATATCGTCACCTTTTATCATTTTTAGCTTGACCAAAAGAAATTACTATACACGCATGAAGCTTTACGTGTATATGTGATTTCATAGTATCAGTAGAACCTATCTATTGGATAGAAGTTAATTCATTACTATGTGCGTTTCACCTAATAACCAATCAACGCACTCGATCATTGCAGGTCAAACAATTAACATTCTATCGGTATGTTTGCTTCGCACGTTCATTCACAAAAAAAGTAGAAAGTGTTATGGTCCATTTGTTGAGCAATGGTATAAATAAAACGATGTTATGAGTAAGCGAGCCAGTACCTAGCCTGGAGTACTACCGTGCTATATTACCCCTCCATTACTTAACTGTTCACGCGGTGTAGGCGACTGACTCAGCACTGTATACCCCGGGGCCATCATCCAATAGCAGAAAAACTACCGGATATCTATTGGACATTTCAGTCGTTGTTTTTATCCGTAAAGAAAAAAAGATAAAGAGTATACAGCCTTCTTTATTATTAAACAAAAAATTATCAGTTGTGTCTGCTCATATTACAAGCCTACCTGTCGTCTGGTTTTTGACTAAATGGCGGACATTAATGCATCATGCAGACGATGTGTTTCGATTCGCAAAAGGCCCATTTTGGTGGCAATTATTGGAATTTTATACTTTAATTTGTTTGTGGAGTTGACCAGAGCTACCCAGAACGACGTTCAGCAGATGTCTGAAGGAGCTGTAAGTACTACTTACATATTCTACTGAATTCTGTATTAAGTGTCTGCGTTCTGTTTAGAAATACCTTTATATTACAAATATGAAAAATGCAATCCTACTTAATAACCCGAAAAAATTATATCACACCTAACTGTTATTTATTCTTTATGGGTATTCTTTAATAAAAGGTTAGAATCATATTTATCCTATAAAATTCTTGTTTTGAAAATTCTTTATGTTGAAGAAATATAATACTTTTTAAACTGCCGGTGTAAGCATTTTATCAAGTTTCCGGTATAATTTACTTCAGAATCTATTCACCTTGCAATTAGTGGTGATTGATCGCTGCGTATACCAGAGTTACAAAGCTTTGAAAAGGTATTCGTATCTATCAAGTTCAATTAAGCTTCAGTAACTGATGTAGTATGAATAAAAACCCAGCGAACTTTGAGAAATGATAAATTAACACAAGTGTGAGATGCAACAATTTGCTTCATCTAAGATAAGTTACTGCCCTGATATTTTCGCTACTCTGGAAACACATTTATAAACGTCCATAGAAGTCTTGACTTTGGCCTAGGTGCCCGATTGAGTTATTACTGAGTGGTCTAGTCTCTACTGTTTTGACAGCCTGTCTACATAAACCCTTTGTATCGATCTCCGAGAGAATCCAAACTATGAATTTTTTATTGTTCAGACCAATCAATGTAATAATAACTAGGGCTAATTGTAACGGGAACCGTTACAGATGTTCCCCAAACGCTCCCCAACTCCCTTTTGGTGCCTTATTCCCTGTAAGCTTTATTAAATAAGACGAACTCTATGCCTTTTAGACTATAACAATGTTTTCCCAGAAGTATATTAATATCTTCAAATTTATGCATTGCACGCATGCGCATTTGAATGCATGTGCGTAATGACCATATCATCTTGTCTACACTATTTATATACTAGAAATTACAGCGTTTTATCCAAAAGTATTAAAAAATACGTTTTAATCTAGTGTTTTTGTAATTTTACTCATTTCACGTGCACGCACGTGCATTTATGTGCATGTCGACTATATCTTCTTGTAGGAGTCTGTTATGTGTGTCTATGTTCTAACTCCCATCCTGTTTGGTTGAAAAACAAGGAAGTTATAGCCATTTTAAGTTTAAGCCAATCAGATTGCAGCGCACGTGAATGCGCATGTTTTCACGACAACTGTTATATATCATATTGTAGGACATCCTAATGCATGACTATGTTTAAAAAATTTCAAAGCATTTCGTCAAAAATTAAAAAAGATATTGCGATTTTTGTTTCAGCCAATCACAGCAAAGCACACGTGCACGCACGTGCATGCATGTGCATAACGACCAAACCTCCTTGTGCGAGTCCATTATGTGTGTCTATGTTCTAAATCCCATACTGTTTGGTTGAAAAACAAATGAGTTATAGCCATTTAAAGTTTAAGCCAATCAGATTGCAGCGCACGTGCATGCGCGTGTTTACATGACAATTGTTATATATCATATTGTAGTACATCCCAAAGTATGCCTATATTTAAAATTTCACAGCATTTCGTCAAAAAACAGAAAAGATATTGAGATTTTTGTTTCAGCCAATCAGAGCGAAGCACACGTGCATGTGCGTGAGTTCGTGCTAATTTGACAGTGTCACATTATCTACACTGTTAATATATCCATATATAATGAGTTTTAAAGTATTTCATCAAAAAATGTTAAAGTTATGGCTATATAAAGTATATCCGTCATTTCACTCATTTCACGCGCCCGCACGTGCATGCGTATGCGCGCAAAATGACCTTCGTTCCGCACACCTACACTACACACCTATTAACCCTAAAAAGGTTTTAGCTCAGTTGGGTGAACAGTTTCTGAGAACACTCGCGGACAAAAAAGTACCGGAGAACAAAGACAAAAAGAAAAAAAAAGAATAACTAGTGCTAATTGTAACGGGGAACGTTACAGATGTTCCCCAAACGCTCCCCAACTCCCTTTTGGTGCCATATTCCCTGTAAGCTTCATTAAATAAGACAAACTCTATGCATTTAAGACTTCAACAACGTTTACCCAGAAGTGTACCAAGTTCATTCTAATTTTAGCATTGCACGCGTGCACATGTGAATGCATGTGCGTAATGACCATATTATCTTGTCTACACAATCTATATATTCTACTATACTAAATATTAAAGTATTTAATCAAAAAGTATTAAAAAATACGCTCATTCAAGTGTATTTTTAATTTTACTCATTTCACGTGCACGCACGTGCATACATGAGCATGGTGACGATACTTTCTTGTAGAATTCTATTACACCTATCTATGTTCTAAATCCCACCCCGTTTGGCTGAAAACCGACGGAGTTATAGCTGTTCAAAGTTTCAGCCAATCAGATTGCATCGCACGCACACGCACGTGTATGCATGTGCAGGTGACCATACCTTCTTGTAGAAGTTCATTATATCCATCTATGTTCCAAATCCCACCCCGTTTGGTTGTAAACCAAGGGAGTTATAGCTACTTAAAGTTTCAGCCAATCAGATTGCAGCGCACGTGCATGCACGTGTTTTTATGATAATTGCTATATATTATGTTGTAGGATATCCTAATGCATGGCTATGTTCAAAATTTCAAAGGATTTTGTCAAAAAACAAGAAAGATATTGAGACTTTAGTTTCAGCCAATCAGAGCGAAGCGCACGTGCATGCGCGTGAGATCTTGCTATTTTGATCATGTGATATTGCCTATGCTACTAATATATCCTTATATTATAAGTTTTAAAGCATTTCATCAAAAATGTAAAAAGTTACGCCTATATCAATTAAATCGGTCATTTCACGTGTTGCACGTGCACGCTCTTGCAAGCACGTGCGCGCAAAATCACCTTCGTTCCGCAAATCTACATAACATGTCTACTGACCCTAAAAACATTTCACCTAAATCGGATGTGTAGTTTACAAGATCATTCGCGGACAAAATTTTCCCGAGAAGAAAAATAATAATAATAACTAGAGCAAAGCTCGTTGCAAAGCAACGAGTAGGTCTTCCGTCCCGTTTGACCGGAAGTTACTTTTATCTTTTACAAAAATGAGTAATAACGCCGAAAAATGGTTTAAATCCTCTAAATCTATGTTAATAAATGCAAAAATAAGCCAGTTTTTACTACTTCCGGTTTGACCGGAAGTGATAACGACGGACGAAAGATTAAGTTTTATACTCTCAGTGACAAATGTTACCCAAAATCTTGTCAAGAACGGCAAAAATATGCGTTTTCTGACTACTTCCGGTTTGGCCGGAAGTGACGTCGCCGGACGTATTTTGACGACTTCAATAGATGAAACTTGACATTTTAAACAATTTTTCTTCTTTGACGTATTACAAATTCTCAATACTTTTTGAGATATAAAAGATAAACTTTCGACCCCGCTAGGCCCTTCATTTTAGGGTCCAGCCCTTTTTTCAAGATATCGTTTGAAAGATCATAGAATTCTAAACTTCTTTTGTTATAAATGTTTTAACAAAATGTTTCCAGGTAAGAAGTTATCGTTGAAAAGGTGTCAAAATTTTTGAAATTCGCGACAGCACTATTTTCTGGCCATAACGAGCTTCCGTTCTTAGCAATTTCGGTGAATATGAAATACGTTCCGCACAACTACATTTATTGCTCTATTATTACTGAAAATCTCAAGTTTCTATCTTAAGCCGTTTTCGAGAAAACTCGCGGACAAACTAACCCTCTAAAATCCACTAAAATGCTAAAAACTCGAAACCGGAAGTGACGTCATCAAAATGAAAAAATATATGTCTAGATTTTTTCATGTTCCACCACCCCGGAAAGTTTCATGAAAATCGAGCAAGCCGTTTCCGAGAACTCGCGTGCACAAAATCGGTAAGAAAAAAAAGAAAAAAACTGTGGAAAAGAAACCTAAGAATAATAAATGAAGGTCTTCCGTTGGAAACGGAAGACCTTAATAAGAAACAGAGTAAAAACAATATGTTCCCCAACTTCGTTTGGGGAACATAATAAATAAAAAAGGCCCTCACTCCGGCGTACCGGGTGAGAGCCATTTTTAACTAAATAAAAAAAGGCCCTCACTCCGGCGTACCGGGCGAGAGCCATTTTTAATAGATAAAAAAAAAGCACCCATTCCGGCGTACCGGGTGAGAGCAATTTTTAATAAATAAAAAAGGCCCCACTCCGGCGTACCGGGTGAGAGCCATTTTAAATGACAAAGTCCCTGTTTTGCTCTTGAAGATCCGAAATAAGTGTCAGATCAAAAAGTAAAATAGGAGGTGCATAATGGTATTATGTAATAAAGAATCTGTGAAAGTATTATTAAATTTTATTCAGTGGTATAGGAGAAGTTGCGGGTAAGAGGTGTGTACCTTTCAATATCACAGAAAAATTCAGTGTCGATAATTGCTCTAGAAAATCCAAAATGTGTGTCCGATCAAAAAGTAAAATATGAGGTGCACAATTACAATATATAACAAAGATTTTGTGAAAGTCTCATTTTTGTTTAAATTTCAATTAGTGGTAACTGAAAAGATGAGTTGCAGATAAGAGATAGGTACCCCAAAGTGTAACAGTCGGACGGACCTACAGAAAGACATTCCGATTATTATATATCCTCCCGCTTTTCAAGCGGGGGTATGATAAATAAAAAAGCCCCCACTCCGGCGTACCGGGTGAGAGCCATTGAAATGCCTTGAGTGTAATTTTTTTCAAGCTTGCATAAATTGAATTAGGCGAAAGTATTCAAAGTGTGGTAGAGTTGAAGAGAAAAATTGATATTTGAATGGAGATGCTAAGAACACTGTTTCGCCCTGTAAGGGCTCATCAGGTCGCCTGGCAGACGACGACAGTGTTTTTTCTTTTTTTTTTTTTTTTTTTTTTTTTTTTTTTTTTTTTAGTAAAAATATATACAAGTACAATAAAATATACACATACATATACAGTCTTTTTTAACATTCGGTTAAATGGACATGGTAAGGTTGATTATGAGTATATAT